TAAGTGTTAGGAAGAAAACTGGAGCTAGGAAAAGAAACGGGGAGAACAGAAGACTGAGCCCTGACAGGGAAATGCCGTTTAAAAGAGCTTTGTCCCAGAGTGTCTACTTGAGTCCAGTAAAAATGCTTTTAGTCTGAATATTTTTAATTATTTTAATGTTTCAAATACCACAGATAAATCTTCTGATCTAAAGGTGGAAATGTGTACTTGGCCATAAAATGACTGTATATGTTTCTTACTCTTGTCCCTGGTGGTTTCATTAATAAGCTGCGGAGTCAAGACTATTGGAAATACATCTCTCCTGATGCCATTGAAAAAATACTGCTGCGGCTATGGGAAGAACTCATTGTTTTTTATTACTCTTTTTATTAAATAGTCTTTATTATTCCTTTAGTACAGTGGCCTGGTTTGGGAATCTGAGGAGCCCAGCACCCCGTCTGGAGTTGGACTGCTTGACCGACTAGCAGGGCTTGAAGGGGTAGTATTTGGTTACCGCAGGAATTAACAAGACAAGGGGACTTGGCTTTTGAGGAGTAAGCTGTTCAAGTGTCCCCTACCTTACCCACTCCCCCCTCTTTGCCCCTTCTTTTCAGTTTAGAGCTTGAAATGCCCTCACATATCCTCTGATCCAGTTCTTGCTTCCTGGCAGACAATTGGGGAAAGTGTGTCCCTATTTTATTAGATGAACCAGTCTAGGCCTGGAGGTCATGTGGCTTGTAAAGGTCACACAGCTAGTAACGTGTCTGCTCACCCCTAATACTGCTGGCTGTGTCCCAATAAAACTATGGACACGAAAATTTGAATTTCTTATAGTTTCCCAATTTAGGAAATACTACTCATCATTTCTTTTCATCTATTTAAAAATGTAAAAACATTCTTAGCACACTGGCCATACGAAATGGGGGATGAGCATGATTTGATCTGTGGGCCATTGTTTGCTGGACCTTTTATGATCAGTCATAAAATTCAAATTATAAAGGACTTTCACTCTTTGATGGGTAGCAGAGTCCCTGGCGTGGGGTCAGCGTATTCAGGGCAAAGTTCAGGCAGGAGACCAGAAATCCATATTGATTTCTACTGAAACTGTGAAGCACTTATGGGTAAATATGATGTAAACATATTTGTAATGATGTAAACTAGCAGTACTGTTCCTTATTATCTAGGTGCTAACTGTCCTAAAAGGATAAACAAACATATATTTCAGTAATTCCAGATAAAACCAACTTCACTAAGTTAGACAAGGATAGGATCATTTTTTGCCTAAAGGCTGGGAATGGCCTTTAGAGGGACTGACTTCTAGGGAGTTGAAAGATGACCTAGGGCATCCTGGGTTTCCCAACTCATGTTTATGAGAAATTCTAGAATTGCCTTGATGTCCCTGAGTCCTGCAAGGCCTGTTGTGTGAAGAAGCACCACTACAGTTCTCAGGCTTATGAGACCCTCGCTTGAGAGAGGAATTCAGGATTTGGCGGGTAGAACAGGTAATAAAGGCCCCATAAAGTAAGTTATCTTTTTTCTCCCCAACAACCCTGCCTCAGTCCTCTATGAGGTTAAACTTCTTAGCAGACAGATTTTAGACCTGACTTAATAAATTTGATTCTGAGTCATATGCCCGATGTGATAGAGCACTGGCTATACATAGTCAACAAGAAAAGCCTCTTTATTTAACATTGATCAAAAACGGTAGCATCATTTGGTTGCCTTCTCTATGGAGTCAAACTCTACTGTAGAGTTCAGCTTCTCGGGTTCAGAGCTGTTCCACCTCTTACTGTGACTTTGGGCAAATACTTGATCTCTATTTGCCTCTGTGTCCTTATTTGTTAAATAGGGAAAATAAATACTATCAACCTCATAGAGGTTTTCTCCCCCTAGGGTTAAGTTAAATGAAAAATACTTAGAACAGTTGGCATAAAGTGAATGCTGAAAGTTAGCTATTATTATTAGTGTTATTCGTATTTTTAGTTCATGTTTATCCTAACCAGGCTTTAGTCTTTAATAAAAAACAGCTGAAGGCATACAGCCCAAGAAATCCTGTAGAACTCAAACCAGTGGTTTTTAGACACTTTTCCATTGCTGAAAGACAACTTATTTCTAGCTTTCTCCAACACTTTATCAGCAAACAGTCCTTAAATTCCTTAGAAATGACCTCCATGTCTTGTCATAAAGATTCACCCTAAGGTTCAAAGACCTGTGCACCATGCCTGAGTCTTGGAGGGGGTTTCACACACTGCTTAGTTCCTGTGGGCTGGTAAGAGCGTCCAGTACTTTCTTTAGGACCTGTCAGGTTAGTTTGTTTTCCCTCTGGGGTTTTAAATCTGATGCTCTGTTGTAAGAGAAAGGCACAAAGGGCACAATTAAGTTTTCATTTTATCTCTTTTAAAATGTATTATTCAAGTCAGCTTAACTCCTTTTGTTAGATAGGACAAAGGTCTCAAGGTCTGGGCAG